CGGGGATCAGGGTAGAATTCATGGAATGCGAGTGTGGAGGGTCGAGAGATGCCGTGGGGAGTCGTCATCGATTTTAGGCGCGTTTTCTACGTAAACCACCGCTGTCACCGGAGCGATGCTGCGTGCGCTGGCATATCTCGGATATTACTCCCCGATGCCGGTCAGGATTAGGTAGGTAAAGCAACGTCTGCATGCATGCTAGGACGTTCTTTATCCCTTCTCTCTTCCTCAATTTCGACCTAGCCTTTTCATGTGATTACCGCAAAATGCTTTGGCTGAGAAAGATCAGCAGGCTACAAAGAGGAAAACAGGGATATTTTCGCTTTTCGCTGAAATTCCCTCGGTCTTGTAAAAGGCCTGCAATGTCATCGAATTTTCTTCCGGTCCACGATTGTGATCTGTTAATAATTAAAATAGTAGAAAAGTTTTATAGTAGTAATGTTATAAGCAAAACGCAAAAGGAGCAAAACGCGTGGAGCGTATGATCGTGATACATGTAGATGGCCTGTTATCAACGATAGTACATATTAGATAAAGGTTACGATAAATTTTGAAGCATCCTTTAAAATTTAATCAGAATCTAAAATAAAGCGTACATAAGTTGTTAATCGTACTGAAGATAATACATTTTATTGCGAGCTTATCTTTGTTATTGTTCGAATCTCAAACCCTTCTAATTTCGGACGCAATAACAATTGTGACAGAAACTGCCACAGTTTCTGACGGATTGAAGGCTGCATAGGCAGTGGATATGCGAGTATATGATGGAAACGGAATGCGAAATAGGCCGCCAACGTTGCCTGTCACTTTAGGCTGAGGCACTCAAATTGAACTTCATTTACAGTGAAGAGTTTGGTGGTTTTCCATCAGAATCCTTTAGTCGTCGATGCTTCTTATCGTTTAAACGAGCAGTTAGTAGATTAACTCTACTCTGGGGGATGTCCGCTTTATAATTGAGTTTTTTTTTTAAGCGCATCGGACAAGTACAAGGCTGTAGTATCAAGCAGTAGTTTCGACAATAGTGTGCCCATGATATTTACAACGACGATCATATTCAGTCATTGTCTGTAATCACTCTACACTTTCAGCATCAACTTCAATAGTACTTACATGCATTCGCACCAATTTGCCCTTGGTGCCCCCAACTTGGTGCGATATAAGTACATTATATACATGAAAATAAACAGTAATTATCATTTGCTTTCGCATTCGCTTTATAGCCCCAAAGCAAGCCTGACGATAAATGTGAATATCCCTTTTAGATGCACATGTATATATATATATGGTACCACGCTGAGTTAAGAGCTACCTCCAACCAAATTCGTCGTGTTACAGTAGGTAAGACAATGGGTGTCGCCTGCCACTGCTTAGTTCCCTACCACAGGGAGTATATACTAGCTGGGCTTCGGGACCGTGACCGGAACATTTGCCTGGTAGTGAGTTGCACGTCAACCGGCTAATTCTGTCCCAGTAAGAGCGTTCGTCCTCTCTGTCTCTAATCAAGGCGCTAAGCAGGCCGCTTACGGTAACACGTTGACTACGAATAAGGTGATATCAAAGGGTACTAGTAGCCCCCACACTCCTCTTCGCGCAGGAGCTGCTGTTGTTGTGAGCATCAATACGTTCGTTGGCTAACAAGTAAATAGCCTTCCTACATAGCTGCCCGTGTAACAATCACTGTTCATCTTCATCGGTTCTGGTTTTCTCTTCGTATCGTTGCTAGCCCGCCAACGATTCTGCCAATAGTTCCTTTTGGCTACCCACTATTACTGCTACCAACGCTTTTCAGAACGAACCTCTGAAGATACTGAATCCTCGCGGCGGCACCCGATAGCCGACAGATCATCCGTCTCCTTATCGTTTATCACCCAGCCTCACCCAGTGAGTAGCCGCTCCAGATGTAGGTGCGGGGTCAGCGTTGGCGTCGCTGCCCCTGCTTGCCAACCAGCTGGTCACCTAACCTAGCTTAATGAGCCCCAAGTGGCTTTTGTTAAAAAGTTCCGACGCAGACCCATTTCGGCCAGCATCAAACCGCAGATAATCGGGCAATTTCAAGCCGTAGCAGAACTCTTCTTCGCCAGCCTTTCTCCCAAAAGGGCTTCCTTCATTCGTCAGATAGGCGCTACCGCGTATGCAGGTAACTAGCTAACCGTCAGTCTTCAGCCGGTTTCCGTTGGGTGCTTCAAAGTGACCTTCAGACTTAAAAGAACGGCTTAGAGTTGCGCAGCAAAGGGGAACTCCTCCCATTTGGCCAGCTAATGCTAGCTGACAATAGCCGAACAGGCTCTTACCAGTAACAAACAGTATATTAACAGTGGTCGAAGTCGGTCGTTTTCAATACAGCTTGTGAGGTTTTGCCTCGTGCCCCTTAAGTCTCTTCGCCGCCTAATGGCAGGGCCATCTCTGGTTCTAAATCCTAAAGTTTTGGGCTTGTTCGTGGTCCGTACCTCACTTCACCTAGCGACCATTCTTCCAGCCTCGCATCGAGCCGCACCCCTCCGAGTGCAGGCATCCGAAACACTTTCGTCCAACAGCAAAGAGCGGCACTGATCGTCGGCTTGGTTGGGTCAGCTGTAGTAATAATAGCAGCATTGGCAATGGAGCTTAACCGGGCACGCCCTCAATGCGGGTTGCGTGGGCTCGATTTGGTCAACGGTTTGGACGGCCGCGGGTCTCAGCTAACTACCAGATTAACCGCAGCTATCACTCCCATGAAGCCACACGTTTCCTAAAGCGGCTTGGTCCTTTGCTTACTTGAACTTCCTACATGAACAGCGCGGACAAGTCATTTATGAATGTAACGGCACAACACGACGCACTATGCGTAAGGTGTAAGACCAGTTGTGCAGAGATGCAGATCTTAGAACGCTGAAAATTGGACGGCCGAGGCGTACGTTATTCATTGGCCGCTAAGTAGATATGAATTCAGTGTGGTGTAACCTACCGAGAGAGACCGTTAGGGCCGCTACCAATCCAGCGCTATGCTCGAAAACTCTAGAATGGGTGTAACTCTGGAGGGTCAAATGTTAAAAGCTATTGAACTTAGTTGACTACCCAATCTAACTTCATGGCTAACTGCTACGTGTCGATGAATCCCGGCAATTTTACAAACCCGTTATCGTAAACACTCGCTACTGAAACATAACGCATCCTAACGTATAGTTCATTAGTGTATGTAACGAGGTAAAAGGAACCGATTTCAGCTTTTATAGGTGAAGTCCGAACTAATTATAAAAGTGTTTGACTGTAGCGTTCTGAAGAACGACATTGTCCTGCTTGAAAACGTCTCCAGTGTTTCAAGATGTCCTTTCCTACTCGATACATCTATTCCAATGAGTCATTGATAGCGACGTATATGCTAACGATTACATTAGGGGAATATCGATCATTTGCAACATTTTAGCCCAATTTCAAAGATGTATAACGTCGATTTATAGACGGGTTATCGACGAAAGATACGATTGCTGGGTACAAAACCTGCTTTCACTGGTCAGACCCCCTCCAATTGGCCATATGGACATCAACATAGCTGTTTAACATGCCAGTAAATACAGATACATACATACATATGGAGCCTACGCAGTCTATATTATCTACACACACACACACACACACACACACACCCATAACAATTAATATCGAGGCAAAATTAAACACTGAGCGGAGAATCAAAACGACACACAATAATCATATAGAGTTGGTGCAAATCGATATATGTACAAGTTTTTTTTTGCTTATTCATGTGTGCGATAGCCCGACGGAAGTTACACTTATTAGGCTCCTGTTTAGCCACAACGGCTCTATCGCAAAGGACTCTACGAGCGTAGAAAGGGACGATTTTGGCTCTGCGTCGCTCGGGCTATTCTTATGGCTGACGAATCGAACAAGGACATTTTGGCCCTTGACGCTCCCTGTTTGTAGATGATAATAACGGAATCACATAGCTATGAATTAAAGCACCTCAGACCCAGTTTTCACTTGGAGCCAGTCGTTGGCTAGCGTGCTCCGATACCTTCCGGGGTTCTGGTGCTGATGATGCAGTTGCTGCTACCCCGTTTCTGCCAGCTAGATACCTATTTACGAATCAAAGCGACTGGTACACGCTTCTTGCAGCCGTACATACGGGATGTTTGAGACCGTTTTCTGTAAACGTTAAATGATTTTTGGGGGCTCAACAGCATATATATATACAGTTCGACAAGCAATGTGTACGGTTAGTTTGTTGGCAAACTTTCGTATTTGCCTTTTTTGACAGCCAATGGTCTCTATCGTCTTACCGCGATTTCATTCGAGGCAACCAGCCTGTGCTGTGTTGGGTTAGCTTGTTAGTTTGAGATACTAATTCCGCTACATGATCGTACTTTTCGACAATTACTAGAGCCGGTTAGGTCTCAGCGTGCCGAATCACTTCGCGATTGTCCAAAGGGAATATTACCATACATCTGACTGCTGTTCGACGAGTGAACGACACACAGTCACCCGCGTCAATTGGACGATCATAAAACTATATTTCAATCTTTGCCCATACGAGCTAACTAGAGGAATCGTTCAGAATTGTTGGCCCCTTTATCTCAATTTATAATCGCTACCTTTATTTACAACAAAGTGTATAACGTAGATACATATCCATATTGGCTTGTTTGGTAGTCACAAACAATGACGCTCAAATTTATCGTTCGTTGTTTATACGACACCAAACACATGTCAATGCGTTCTCGCTTTAATAACAGTACAATTCGCATAATATTTCGTAGCTTCAGCCAGCTAAGAACTTCAACTGAGTACTAGTGCGATGGGAGCAAAAAATGCTATTATGGTTTTTGTTTAATTCTATGTCATAATCGTGTCACGGCCTTCTTTTCTTCCTGATCAATATTCTCTATCTTCTATACTTTGCGGCAATCGATCCGGGTTTCTACTAGACGAAAGCTAACCGCGAAGACTGCTATTAATACATTCTAATTAAGACTTGCTTTGCCAATAGCTATCGCTAAATTGAAATTGTCTGCTTTCGGATCAAAGACTAGTAGGTAGGTTTTCGAAAATTCTTTACTTTTCTGCCGGGGAGTCTGCGATCTCGATTTTACTTCGGAAGTTGGCACAAAATACGGCTCGCGACGATCTAGGCCCAAGTAGAAGAGATAGCGTTTCCCGACGATCGGATTGATATACGTACGTAGGGTGGATCAGTAGCGGATACGAAGTGAGGCAGGAAAACCGTTTCGTCCATTTGCATATCGATGTAGATCTATTTTCTTCTGATTGAACGTTTGTCTGTGTTCTGTTTACCTGTTCCCTTGATAAGAAGCTTTGCCCAGAAAGCTATAACTTATAAGTAGAAAACACAATAATTTGCTCCCTCTTAGCGAAAGTTCCATCTGTGTGCTGTCCTTGGCAGATGCAATGCCACAAATCATTTTGCAGATGCGCATTTTACCTGCGTCAGAAGTTAATATCTTCGCATGTTTTAAGTTTCAAGAAGAAATAGAAATTCAAATCAGCTTCCTACGTTTTTCATTTATGACCATAGAAGATAAATATAATAATGCATCAGTTATTATACCGGCCGTTTTGATAAAAACAGCGCAAACAAAATGTGTTTCTTTAAATTGAACCAGAATTTTTTTTTTGGGGGGCTAAGGGCAAATGCATTATGCAGACCGGACGTAGGCAGGACATGACTGCTCTTTGTCCGGTACTGTGGGACTCTCACCAAATTGAACCAGAAATGCCCCTTTGGAACCATCCCGATCTTCCATATATTCGTAAAAGACTCCGTCTTAATAATCATGATAAAAATAATTATTACCAATGGTGCGTTCGGAAAGGAGCGTATTTCATCAAGCCAGTTTCCTTAGTAGAAACAATGCTGCTGATAATATAGAACAACCTTGTCCCCTATCTCAACGTGTCATATGGATTCAATTGGAAACCGCCGAAACAATACCTAGCTCTGAAGATCGTTATAATCTTCCGAACGTCGTGTGCTTTGCTTCATTAGTGGTTTTCACTATACTGTAAGTGCTTATCAGGATATACAAAGAAGGCCACGAGGAAAAAGGTTGTCCTGCATGTATTGCAAAGAAGTAGACAACTTAATTTGCAGGTCGGATAATAGATCGGAACATAGCTGTGAAAGAAATGTCACAATCGATAAGCTACCGTTATCGATGAACTGCATAGTTAGAATGATATTGCTAACGGGCTTTTTGGATATCGATTGAATTGTGATACTAGTTAAAGTAGTAGACACACTATACATGATACCTTGTAAGAGATGGACACACCCTTCTGTAATTCTATAGATTATTATATTTATTTTACCTATTCATACACGTGCCCAGATTGATAAACGCCTACATGGTATGCCACCTCTCAATCAATATGGCTCATTTGCATAGGCCCATACGTTGCGTTCGATAGAAAATGCCTCCTATTTCTCTCTTTCGAAGATGTCCGTACGAGTTAGCCAGTAAAAATTACCTGTTCCCAATTGCGGTTAAGGAGTGTTCCTATGTTGTTCAGTTGTGTTGACACTTTAGAAGCACGCGGCAATTTTCATCAGTACCAGCATAACGTATATAATTCTTCAGTTTTAATGGGCATAACAGTTCGTTATTGTAGTACTTTTTCCTCGCGTAGTTTCTCGGCGACACGAATACGGATCAGTTGCAGCAAAACTGGACTAGATGCTTTATTTGAGGAACCGGAGTGTGGAAGGACATCGTATTCCGAGTAAGCCTCAATAATGGTTCGTAATGAAGCCTGTCTGGGTGCAAGCTTCATCTTTATCTGTAGACGTATTAGTAACAGCTGAAATAGTATATAAGTGTATTATCATCAATGTGATTACCGTGAGACAGAAAATTCTATTCAATAGAAAGTAAACAGATCCTTCACTGTTTTTGCTTTGTGTGACCTAAAAGTACACAAGTTTGGTATCTTTCTGCATTTGCTTTTTATTTTCTTTTCGATTTATTTTATTTTCTTGACGTTTGCTGTTCTTCAACACGCACTTATGTCAATATGAGGTGATCATGGCGGGCAGAACTTAAGTGAAAAGGTTGGTTTCCAGCTAACTGTGTGAAGTTAACATCTCTGTAGCAATTGCATTTCCGGAGAAGTACTATGAACGATGCACAACTTGACGATTTTTCTTGTAGGTAGACAACGTATGCGACTGATAGGCTACATTAACCTATCGGTACATCACCCACGTATCAGATCTTTTCGGGTTATAATTAAAGCAAGAAAGAGATAACCTAGAGCACAGTTAGTTGATCGAATACTACGTTTATCGCTGCATTGATGAAGTTTTTCAATGGCTGTGATGTTTTTGTTGTTTCCTCTGCATGAAAACCGTTTCGACAGGCTTTGTCTGTGCTGTTCGGTACTGGAACAAAATGAAACCCACAAGGTATCTGTCTGAATTATATATATATATATATGAATATATATATATATATATATATATGTGCATGTTGACCCGGTAGTGGCCCATCAAGTAGACGATGTATAGGTTTTCTTTCTGTAGCTAACTGCGCGAACATAATGCTGAATATTTAATTTAACGAAATACCTTTTAAATCACTCGTACACTTGCATTGTATGGATCGTCTGGTCAGAAATCGCGCCTGGCTTGATAATTGCTACTCACGAGCATTTCCCCTTTATTCTACCTTAAGAGACACTTTAATGACACTTATGTGCTGATGGATGGTAGTAGGACAGGTCGAAAAAAGCCTTCTGTTTTGACATATTTAAAAACTATGTTAAAATAGAAGGCACACACTCAATAAGCAAATCAATAACTTGCACTTTTATATTTACCAACAAAGATAAAACCGAAAAGTTGTAATTATTCTGTCGGGTCTACGGCTGTAATATAGCTCATGGGCTTGAAAACCCGTTATATTTGTATTCTCTAGCGTACCAGGCAGAATGATCCGACCCGTTTCCCCTGTCAAATAACCTCAACTACGAACATGAACATCCTTCAGCAGCTGTTATTATCGTTAAGCTGCTGGATATAAAAATTATTTTAATAAAAGCCCTTCTTTCCTGGCTCACATTTAGAAAGCGCTCAAACGTTTTTCTAGGGCGCAAAAAATAAAACTTGGCCTCTGACCCAATCGTCAGTTTCTCTCCGTCTCTTGTCCGTACGGCGCTGGCCTATAGGCCGTGAGTTGAAGCTTGCTTGTCTCTCTGTCTCTTAGGCGTTCCATCTTATGCTTCAATTGCCTGTTCTTTCCCTCCCTTTCATCAGTCGTTAGTAATAATTATCTTGTACTCTACGTACGACAATTATACATGCTAAATTACAACTACTACAACAACGTTCGTTTATAATTAGTGGTTGATATTTATCATCTAGGGGCGGCTTTTCGGGACATGAAGTCCGTTGCGTTTCGACCTGTTTTGGTCGGCTCGGCCCGTATTGCCGGCAGATTTTTTCTTTTGAATGGTTTGTCTGATACTGACAGTCTTCGATCTCATTCCTCGCAATCGTGGCGCTTTTTCATCCACCGTTACCTCACCCACCCTTACTATAATCATCGACATATGGTCCTTGGCTCTTTTATCTATATTATCCTTTTCTCCTTAAGCTAGTCTCGCAGATTCTCCTTGTTTGGCTTAAAGATCGTCTCTTTCTTTAAGCAGAGGAAGGAACCTCAACAAGACTAGGAAAAGCTGTTCTCCTTCGTTTGCGTTTCTGACGACCTTCTTATACTCTAAGTCGTCGTCATCGTTTTTCTGCTCTAGGAACGTCGGGGTGCAGTGTCCCTCGCACCGAGACCAGTATAGTCGCATAGTATTCCAATGTCTGATTCTCGCGACAGCCAAATGGGGTCAACCGCCGTTCGTCTTGGCTCTGCCCCCCGTATTGGCCTCTGCACTTGATCTTGATACGCCGGCTGGCCCCGGCAGCAGCGACATTGCGCTGGCAAGCCCGTAGCGGTGAAGCAAAGTAAGGGTAACGGGGCGAGAATCGAGGGAGTTCTAGGAGGGGAGCAAGAAGAGGTCGGCCATATAGCTACGTGGTCCTCGCAGGGATCCATTAGAAATGTAAAAATACCACCTCCTCTCATCGTCGTTCTTTCCAGTCAGGCCTCTTCTGGGCACTAAGAATTGGCCCAACCCCGTTGAGTGGCACTAGCCGTTGCCACCATCGTCGTTTACAGCTTTCTCCTTATGCTTTTAGGAGGACGAACGGGCCGAAACAGCCATCCTAAACTCCGCCCGGATCCACTGACTGCCGGTGGTCGGAGTAGTTTCGCTATCATTGCCACTGCCGCTGTAGCCGTCAACGATGCTCGTATTGTCGACAATCAGCGGGAATGTGGGCGAACGATACTTTTATTCCGCAATTATTATACATGTATTTATTCATTCTTTAGTGAGAAAAATATTTGTAAGTGAATGATACAAGTACGGTAATCACTGCACTTTGATTACTGCAGAAACAGGATACATATCTAGAAACGTAGCGTCAAAAAGGAAAAGAAGACGGCGGGTAATAATTTCGGAAACATTTGGTGTTCGCGTCTTTGTTTGTTCGCGGCGACGACAACGACATGACTAACCCATTTGAACTGCAATGAGTAATTCTCCGCTGTGAATACATCAATCCCTTTGGTTTTTGGGTCGCCTCTCAAGGAGAAAGCACAACCTAGGCGGCAACCTCGGAATACAGAGGTAGAAAGTGAATTTCTGTTGGGTTTGAAACGTTTCTGAAATTGAACCGAAAGCGTCGACGAGAAAGAATTGCTTAAAAATGGTTCGCTTCGCTGCAGCGCTACCAGATCACGCTTCAATGATCTTTCTCCTTTTGCATCCTATGAGTCAAAACATTTTTGGAACGTATCTGTGAGTACGTGTGCGCACGCTCGCTCGGTCGCTCGCGCACGCCTTAATTGACCTGATTTGAGTGAAGCGATGTTATCAGCCAATGGTCAGAGTTCCAAATATTATTGTTCTACAAGACCCAACGGATTTCGTCGACCCAGATGCTGGGTTAAGCTTTGTCGGTGTTCTATCGTCAGCTGAGCTCTACGTTGGCGACTGTTGGTTGTCGTTGAAAAGTTTACTTCGTATCAGAAACGTATCGCTTTCACAGGATCTGCTTCCAACTGGATACACAACAATTGGAAGTAACTTGTGGATAATTATTTCAATTTTTTTATTTACTAAAGTTTGCTCGAAGTTATGTTATAGTGAACGCGGGTCATTTATGCATGTTTCTTCTCATCATAATGGAATCAGGTAAATGAAGCAAGTCGGGTCAGCGCAAGATCCTAGCGAATGCGTCTATTATCATGCTCAGGGCTCTTGAAATAGATATTTTCGGGTTGCATTAACCAGAGGAAGTATCGCGCATCTATATAGACCCAATCCATAGTTGGATGCACACAAAGAATAAATTGAACGAACGAATGTTCAAGCTGGCTTTACCATTCGTGTTTTAAATGTCAAATATCGTTGAAGATTCAATGGATATATGTAAACAGATAGATGTATCAGAGTTTGTTAGCATTTAGATGTTTTATTTGGTCCAGTGACGTGGTCGCGTTTAAATATGCATATATATGATTGCATGTGTGATAATATATGTTTCCGTGAGTAACAGTCATGGCAGCGGTAACATTAGGAGCAGCATGTACGTGGATGAACTATACTCATACATACAGAACCTGAGAACGATCGAATTAACGTGCAGCAAATTTGCTAGTGGTGTCTCGTCGTCAACCTCATGGGCAACAGATCTGAGGCGCGGTAGGTGAACAATATGGAGTATAGATAACTATTTTACTTTTACGATCTCGTGTAGCTGGTTGGACACCTTTCGTATCGTTCGCTTTCTCAAGTCGGAAATCTTCATGCTCATTTTGCCAGGAAGAATCTTATAGGCGGCATGATTCTAACGCGAGTAACGACCGTCAGCCGAAGCCTTAGTTTTTTTTTCTTCAAACAGTCTGATTCATAGAGCTTGGTCGAGATTGTCATTCGGCTTCTACCGTTAAAAGGCCCATCTTTAAGTTTCGGAGTCTAGACGGGTGGGTTCCGGGATTCCTGTATGCGGGGACGATTTTGGGTTGGAGGTGCCTTCAACTGCTGCTGCTGCCGGGAACGCCAGGGGCCGCGGGGAGGAGTAAAAGGGAGCAAAGCGGGCCTAAGCGCTTGAGACATTCGTCATCGTCCCTCCAGACCATGCCAATGAACGGTACTCGTGCTGCTCAGTTCTCCTTCTCGTCGGCCTTCCACAACCCTTACCCACTGCAGTGGCAACGGCAGTCGTATTCCAGGCTGTCTGCTCTGACAACGCTATTCCTCCTTCCTTAGCGAGCGCGTCATGCCCAAGTCCTCCGCGAAGAGTTCGCCACGATGCCCAGCTGAGCGGGCAAGCGGCGTTGCCGGCCGCCGCCGCTGTCGACTCGCCGCGAGCTACGCAGCCGGCAACCAGGACTCAAAGCGGCTACGCCGGAGCGTTGGTGCATTCGAGCTTGGCGCATTTTTCAAACTGGAGCGAGCTACCCCATCACAACATCCCACATGCCCCAAAATAATACTACCACACATGCATTTGCCCTCAGAAGAACGGCAGCCGCGTGAAAGTCCGGCCCGCATGGGAATATGAGGATGCATGGCTGCTGAGAAGTACTGCAATACGAATATGGCTATGTGGCCGGCTGGGCGGGTGAATGGATGGGTGCCTGAATGTGTTTGTATTCTTGTGTGTGCGCGCTTCTGTGAGCGTATGCGAGCGTTTAGGCCTCCGCTTAAGTATGACTTCTGCTGTTGCTGCTGCTGTCAGA